AGTCCTCATTGTCTCGTGCAACTACACTCCTCTTGGCAGGCCGGGACCCTCACCTGCCGGGGACACAGAGGAGGGAGGACAGCACTGGGGGCTGCTTGCAGAGCCCCAGGCTGAGAAGCTGAGGGGATGGGAAGGACAGCCCAGGCCACAGCAGGACGGGCAGTGGCTTAACTCCTGGGCTCTGCAGAACACCGTGTCCTGTAACCCGGTGGAAATGCCTTCAGAAGTCACAGCGAGGGAGCTTTGCACCCCGAGGGGTTCTGGCTCACGTGTCATGAGTGCCACGGCCGTGGGGCAGCGTGGTGTCCAGTCACAGGGATGGGGTGTGACTCGGGGTGATGACTGTAGGGGCGGGAAGGGGGGAGGGGACCCGAGTGAGGAATGTGGTGTTTGGGGGCAGGAGGTTTCTCCGCGTGATCTCGACCGGAAGAAGTCCCCTGAGCGAAGCCCAGGCGGGGGAGTTGGCCGTGGTCCTGCCGGGGGCGGGGGACTGGGGTTTCCTGCTCCTAGGCCTGACCCTTCTCCTCTGCAAGCCTCATACCACTGTGGGGACGTCACTCTTGCCAGCCTTTCCCCAGGTCAGGGGAGGGTCCCGGGCGGGGTGAGCCACTCGGCCGTCTGTGGCCAAGCATTGTGTTGGCCCAGCTGTGATGCCCCGGCCGTGGGAGACAGGGAGGTGGCGGGGAGGCCACGGGCCCTGGGACCTGCTGGAACCAGCTTCTGAGATTCGCTGGTGAAGCCAAAGCCCTGTGGCACCTGCCGCCGCCTCTGACCTTGTTCTTTCTGCGCTGTGGGCTTCGCTCCTTGCCTCGGGCCCCACAGCTCCAGCAAACGGGCAGCAGAACCTCTGGCCGTGGTCAACTGGTCGGACAGTCTCCCAGGGACTGCCTGGCGGACCTCGGCCAGTTGTGACGGGGACTTACTTCTTCCTCCAACCGGGATTTTCAATTTGCGGGCTCCTTCCTCACCTCCCCTGGGTGGCCGTGGCACCTGGCTTCCCTGGACGGGCTGGCGCAGTGGGCGGGCGTGGCAGGCGGGGCTCTGCCCTGGGCTGGACAGCGGCTCCAGGCCTCCCTCCAGGGCGGGGCCTCCCTCGCTGCCCGTCTGCTTCCTGCGCAGCCCACAGGTGACGGGCCGAGGCCCAGAGCGGCGCTGGCGTTTCCCGTGCATCCCTAGATGAGGGCCGAGGCCGTCCCGGCCCCCGTCAGCCACCAGGGCCCAGGTCACGTCAGAGGCGATGATGTCTCTTTTGCTCTGTCCTTTCTGGGGGGGATTCACCCCAGAATGTCAGAGTGGGGTGAATCGGGTGGCAGACTTAGCAAATGAAAACAGAGGACACTGTTAGATCCGACGTCCAGCTAAACAACAAATAAATGCTTGACGTTGTGTCTCATGCAAGTTACCTGAGAATTTTAGGTGAATTCTAACTTAACCGGGTGTCCTGCGTCCTATCTGCCCCCCAGCGGAGTTGGGCCCCGAGGAGGGGGGTGCGGGGACCTGGCACGTGGTCTGGGGCCAGGACACGGGTTTGTCCAGCGTGGCGAGTGTTGCTGCTCTGTCCTAAAGCCGGGCTGTCCGTTCTGGCTCGAAACCTGCTTCCCCGGGAGAGGCGTCTGTGCAAAGGACGTCCGTCCTCCGGCAGCCGAGATCCCGTCAGACGCTGCTGGGCCTGGGGCCGCCCTGGGAGCCTCCCGCGGTTCCTGTTCCTCCGCCAGGCAGAGCAGCGGCGCCCTCAGGGCCGCACACAGCGGTCCCGCGCCCGTCTCCTCTCCGGGTGTGACTTTGCGGCCTGAGCGGCCCAGGCGTGTGCTCCGGACACGCCGGCCGAGTCAGACCATGACGTCCGCAGAGAAAGGCCCGGATCCCACGGGTGTGGGTGGCAGGTGTGGACCTCAGCTGACCCTTCTTGGGGGGCTGCTTTCTTCTCCGTTCCCATCTTGGTTGCTTGTGTCCCTGGGGCCAGCACAGGGCTGTGCCAGGAGGCGACTGGACTAGCATGGCCTGGACAGGCGGCTGCACTCGGGAGGGCCGCGTCCCAGCCAAGGTCCTGACACCCTCCTGGGAGGACCTGTGAGCAGCGCCTCGCGAGGCCAGGGAGTGTCACCTTCCATGGCAACAGACTGAGCTGGGACCGAATGGGGACTGTGAGGTGGGGAGGTTATCCGGATTGTCCGGCTGGCCCTCCATGCCATCCCTGTGTCCCTGTGAGAGAGAAGCAGAGAGGTCACAGACACACGGCTGAGGCCAGGCAGGAGGGAGGCAGAGATGGAGCGAGGTGGCCGAGGGAGGCCGCAGCCCCCGGGGCTGGACGAGGCAGGAACGAGGCTCCCTGGAGCCCCCGGGGGAGCTCAGCTCTGTGACACCTCGACCTTGGGCCCAGGCTGTGGGGGACTCTCACAGAGCCCCAGGACCAGGTGCCAGGTTGGGCCACCAGACAAGGCGGGTGACATCCCAGGCGGTGCAGGTTTGTACCTCGCGCTTCCCTGAGCGTCATTTCGTGGACTCTGTTTAGGCCGGAATGTCCCCTCCCTGCCTGACGGTCCCAGCGCATCTGGGAGTTCCTGAAATACAGGATCCCGCGCCGGGCCCCGGGGTGCACCGAGAACCCTTCTCCTGTCACCAGGGCCCCTCCCCACCGGCCCCACCCTCACCTCCTGGGGTCCGCAGGGGGTGTCCCAGGAGTACTGTGGCCAGTGGCCGCCTACAGGCCTCTGGAGTGCGTGGCGCCTGCGTGGGCAAACGCTGCCTAGTCCTGGGGCCGCAACTGCGTCCCCTCGGCCAGCAGCCCCGTCCCCCTCTCCCCCCGCTCTCCCTGCTCCATCCTGTGGGTGCAGGCGGAGCACAGGTCCCACTTCCTGGGGGACCGCAACGCCCCGGCGTGGTCCCCTTGTCCTCTGCGTGCCCAGCCCCAGGACACACCGAGGAGTCTCACACCGTCCCAGCCGCTGGCAGCTCACCGCGGCATTTGCCGCCGGTCAGAGGGGCCTGGCCATCGGGAGCTCTGGTATGAGCTGGGCCCAGGTTGGTCCTTGGGGCAACCAGCTCAGTCCAGCTCAGGAGCTGGCGGGAGCCCAGGGAGGGACAAAGCAAGTGTCCAAGCTGAGGCCACAGGACAGGGTCAGAGTTCGGCCAGGCAGGGCGCAGAGAGGCCGGCCTTCGCTTCCACGGGAGGCGCCGGGAAGCCTGGAGACGCGTGGGACCCGAGTCGGGCGGAGGTGGGACGGCCTAGGCCAGGGTGGCGCCCGGGCTGGGACAAGCGGGGAAGGGCACAGGCCGTGGGGTCTGCAGGGAGGGGGCAGATTGGCACCAAGTGGGCAGCGGCGGAACCACAGATGGGCCGGGTGGGAGCACTTTGGAGGGGAGGTTGAGATGCCCGGGGGGAGCAATGGGCCCTGGGTCCACAGCCGTGGGGCAGGGGCCTGAGGGCCGGGGAGGACCACTCCCCAAGCAGGAGGGTGGGATGCTCGGCCTGGGCTGCCCGTGGGCACGGGACGGGGGCAGATGCCAGATGGCGGTGGCTTGGCTGGTGAGGCTCCTCACGGCTCAGAGCCCCTGGCACGGGGGTGGGGCGGGGGCTGGTGTCCTGGGTGAGATTCCTGGGAAGGCAGAGCTGGAGGAACTCGGGGTGTGACGGGCCGAGGGCACATGGGTCCTTGGACCTGAGTGGCTGCCCTGGGGGCGGGGCAGACGTGCTCTGGGCAACCCCAGAGGATGGGATTGCACTGGGCCAGGTTTCAGGAGGAAAACCTGTCTCTTGGGCTGCCCTGTGAGGTGGTGAGCTCCCCGTCCTGGGAGGCATGGGAGCAGAGACCTGCTCAATGGGCTACAGTCCTCAGGGGGGTTTCCCAGCACCAGGCAGTGAGTGCCGCCCCTCCCCACGATGCCTCCTGGGCCCCTGGGTCTGCCTGCAGCCCTGACTCAGGCACAGCTCCCAGGTCTGCGGCCCGAGTGTGGGCACTGCAGGGGCCATGTCTCCGGGATGCCTGCATGGGGCCACCTCTGCGTTTGCTGTTTGCAGACGCTCCGAGGCTGAGCACCCAGTGTGCACAGCCGGCCGGCGGGGCCAAGGGTCGGTGGGCGGCTCCCGCCTGCTAGTTGGGACCTGCACAGCCCTGAGCGGGGAGGCGGGGGTGGGGCGGGCAGGGTGCCCGGCACAGGTGCTGGGGGGGCCGGCAGGGCGGGGCTTTCCAGCCGCCAGGCGAGGCCACAGAGACTGCTTCCCTGGAACCAGGTGAGCTCCTGCTCCCAGGCCAGGTGGGTGCCGGCTCCCCTCGCGCTGAAGGCCGAGGGGGGCAGGGTGGGCAGCCCGGGGTCCCAGGCCCTGGTGGCACATGGCCGGGGGGAGAGGCAGGGTTCACACCTGGGCTGCGGCCTGCACCAGGTTTGGGGCACCCACTCCTAAGCCGGGCACAGGTGTCCGAGGGGAATGGTCGGGAGACGCAGCCCCCGTCCTGGCTGGGGGCTCCTCGCGGTCCAGGCTGCCCCGGAGAAAGTGGGGGCTGGCCTCGCCTTCCTCATCTGAGCCAGGGGATGCCCCTTGTCCCCTCCCACCTGGGGGGGAGGCTGGGGCAGTGGAGGCCTAATCTGGAGACCCTGCGCCCCAGCTATGGGGATGAGGGAGGGAGGGGAACAGGGACACAGACCCCCAGGGACAGCACAGCCCGGAGGTGCCAGGTCCCGAGTGACGTTCCTCCAGGGACAGGGGAGTCTGAGTGTGAGGGCTGTGCCTTGGGCCTAGATGCCAGGAGGGAAGGGGGTGGTGGCCAGGCCGCCTGCCCTGGGACAGGCCCGGTTGTCGGTGACTGACTCACCCCACTTCAAAGGCCTGGGCCCCACGCAGCTATTTAACCACCGGCCGTGCCCTCGTTCTGGAATTCTGCTCTGCGGGGAGCTGGCGCCCCACCCGCGGGCCCGCTCCTCACCCGGCAGGTGCCTCTGCTCCCAGCCTGTCCACACGGCCAGCCGCAGAGCCCCGGCCCTCGCCTGCCGCCGCCGCGGGGATGTCGGCCCCCTCCGGCCCTGGCCCTGCCCCGGCCGTGCAGGTGTCCTTGTGGCACCACTACCTGCAGGCCATCCGGTCGCGCGAGGCGCCCCGGGTCCAGGACTACCAGCGCGCAGAGAACGTGCTGCTCACGGTTCTGGAGCGCGTGCACGCGCTGGACGCCCGCTTCCTCGTGGACTACTCCCGCGACCTGGAGGCCTTCCAGTTCGCGCTGCGCTCCTCAGAGGACCCGCTGCTCGTGGAGGTGCCCCTGGGGGTGGACGCCGAGGCCCTGCTGATCGAGGAGCCGGGGGCCGCCGAGCCGGGGGGCGGCCCTGCGTCCTGCCGCCTGGGCGTCCCCCGGGAAGGGGCCGGCCTGGAGCGCTGGACCAGCGACGACGTCTTCAGCGCCTCCTCAGAGGACAGCGCCGAGTGCCGCGGCCACATCGTGCCCAGCAAGGTCCTGCGCGTCCTCAAGGACCTGCTGGTGGCGGCCACTGTGCACTGCAAGCACCACGGCCTCATCGCGCCAGGTAGCGGCACGACCGCTCTGCTCCTGTCCGCGTGCACACGAGCGAGCGCCGCGTGTGGGCGCGCAGCCGTGTGACTGTGCTCCCGGGGTGACCCGCCCACCGCGTGGGAGTCTGTGTGCGAGTGTGTGAGCGCACATGCGTGTGGTCACTGTGCGCGCGTGCACAGCGTGTATTGTCGGGTGCGTGTCGGCGGCACTGAGCCGGGAGACGTCACTCTGAGGTCCTGGCCCCAAACACCTCCCCAAAGTGGATGGTGCGTTTCCTGTTCTCTGGTTTTTGCCTGGTGATCTTGGCCGTGGTGTCTTTGCCACTGGGACCCAACAGAATGTCCTGCTTCCCCTGGGAGGGACGGGCAGGTCGCACCTGAGTCACGCGTGTCCTCGCAGGGTTTGTGGCCTCAAGTCCCCTCCCTGGTATCGGACGGACCCCGCATCGGTGGTGGGGAGGTCGCGTGCCTGAGGGACAGTGACCTGCTCAGGCTGCCCAGGGTGTGGCTGCAGGTCCGGCTGCACATCCGGGTGGGGCCCTGGCAGCGGGGGACCCGCCTTTCCTCCAGCACTTCCTGTGGTCTGGGGGTGTCGGCACAGCACACGGCTGCGAGATCCAGGGGGTCCTGGGCTCCTGGACGTACCCCCAACACCGAGGGACCCCAACCCAAGCCCCTCCCCAGACCTGCCTGGTGTCCGGGGGCAAGTGACCAGACTGACCTCTGGGCCGCCGGAGCTGTTATCAGGTGTCCGGCTTCTGGCCGCCCACGCCGGCCCTCACCCTGCAGCCCACGGGCACCTTACCTGGTCGTCTCCTGAACCCTCTAATTACCGCGGGTGGCTGGGAGACCGTTTCTGTCCCCTTGTCTGACCTGACGCGGCCATTGCCACCCGGCCCTGTCACCCGCAGGCCCACCTGGGGGACGGACCCACCTGCCGGGGCGGGCGGGAGGCTCTGCCAGGCCCTGCAGCCGTTGGGGTTGGATCTGTGCTGACAGTCCCCCCTGCATCTCCCCCAGGCGGCCTCTGCGCCGGGCGTGTGGGACATTCCGGGCGTTGTTTCCTGACACTTAGTTTAACAGGGAGCCGGGGAGACAGGGTTCAGGCTGCCCCCACCCTGGGAACCGGTGCGACCAGCCGGGCCGTGGCGGGGTGGCTGGGCGGGGGCAGGTGGGGCTGGCTGCCCTCCGAGCGGCCGTGGCGTGACACCCGTGTGGCCAACGGTGGGCGCGGACATGCAGCCACCCCAGGGGGCCTTGCACGGGCACCTCAGACGTTGAGTGGAGAGGGCCGGTCCCTCCCGCGCCCTGAGTGGAGCGGGGCCCACGTGGAATGGAGTGGCCCAGGTGGCGGGGCCCGGGGCCCTGGGGTGGGTCCCGGGGGGTGGCCCAGAGCTGCCCCGCGGGCGACGATGGGTGCAGAGGGGTCGGCACAGGGGGCCGGGCTCCTTCCTGAAGGGCCCCAGGGCTGGGGATGGTGGGGACACAGCCCCACGCTCACCCACAGGGAGACCGTTCTCCAAGGGGCGGGTGGGGATCCCTTTGGGGGACACCAGTGTGCTGTCCGGGCCCGGCTCCCAGCTGGTGGGCCGCCCTGACCTCTGACCCGCGCACCGCGCTGTTGACCACCCCTCCCACACAGACCTGAACCGGCGGCCCGGCCGCAGTGTGAGGACCGGCTGGTGTAGGTCTGTCCCCTAGACCCAGTCAGACGTGGGGCTTCCTGTGCACACTGTCGATCTGGGGGCCCTCGGGGAGGCTTCCGGGGACCAGGAGGGGCAGGCTCTGGTCACAGAGGCCCAGCCTTGCCGGCCCTCGCTGGCCCTCAAGTGGGGTCCCTCCTGGCCCCAGCCTGGGCAGTCGTGGGGGTGAGCACAGTCTCCGGGGGACCTGGGCCCCGGACAGCCCCGGGAAGGCCCGGAGAGGTGCGGTCAAGGCCGGGCCGCAGGGTGTGGGGCACAGAGAAACCTCGTCCTGAGGGCGCCAGGTCCGTAAAGCGACCGCCGTGCGGATGAACGGCCGTGTTGGGTGGGCACGTGAGGCTGGGGGCCCGGAGGGACACAGTGTCCCGGTGGGGGAGCCGCAGCCTGCAGGGGGCTGCAGGTGAGAGGTGACGAGGGGTCACGGGCTGAGCGGGCAGTGGGAGGGGCTGGGGAGTGTCCCTCGGGCCGGGCCGGGCAGAAGAGGGAGCCGCGTGGCCGTGGCCGTTGCAGGTTCGCTCAACGCGGCCAGCCTGCGGGAGGAGCAGCTGCGCCTGACCTTGCTGGTGTCCAGCGGCTGGAGGACCATCCGCTTCAGCGTCGTGCCCGTGGTGCGGAGGCGGCAGAGGCTGCCCGCCCTGGAGGGGGCCCAGCTGACACCCGGCTTCCCCGAGGGCAGCGTGACAAGGATCATCGGCCGAGGGGTGGACCTGGTGCCGGCCAGCGCCCAGCACTGGAGGTAGAAGCACCCCCGGGGCTGCGGGGTCCTGGGGACGGGCAGGGAGGGGGCCGCCACCTCTGTGCTCCCACCCCCAGCAGGAGGGTCTGCGGGGACCCGCCTGCCTCTGCCCTGCGGCACCTCTGTCCGGCTGAGGTTCCTGGGGTCTCTGGGGGACCGGGGGGTCCAGTGGCTTGCAGAGCTGATGGGGGGGGTGTGCTCTCCGGGTGGGGGGCGCCACGGGGTCTGGCTGCGCTGAGAGACCGCAGTGCAGGGGCTGCGCTCGTCACCCAGCCGCTGCCGTCCTGGGCGGGAAAGCCGTCAGGAGGTCAGGGGACTTGTCCAAGGCAGCACGGGGTTCCCAGCACTGGGCGGGGACCCACACGGCGGGGTGCTGGGTCTGACGAGACTGATGGCGCTGGGCCTGCTGGCATCGCCCGCCGCGGCTGCGCCCCCCGATTCCGTGCCCCTCCCTGCGGCCCCCACCGGTGTTTAGCAGCTGATCCCCCCACAGACCTCTGCTGGCCCCAGAGCTCCGTCGGCGCCCTGGGGGCCCTTGGCCCCTGTCCCCAGCAGCTGTGATCTGTGTCTGGGAGAGGGAGGACGGGCTCGCAGGGCACCCTATGCGCCCCCAGAGACCCCAGACCTGACAGCGCTCACACGGCACCTGGCAGGCAGGGTTGTCACTGTCACGATGGGCCAGGTGACCCGCCCGGCCAGCCCACGCACCTGAGGGACGCCCGTGAGACAGTCGCGCTCACTGCGACGACGTTTGTCAGGCTGGGCACGCGCCTTCTGTAGTTTTCTGCCTGGAGGACGGACTTGTAGGGCATCAGGGAGCCCACCCTGCCCCAGCGTCCCGGCCGGCCCCTTGGCCCGGCTCGCCAAACGACTGCCCACCCGCCAGGAAGGGCAGGGCCTGGCTGAGCCGTCATTTTAGGCAAGTAAACGGGGAAAGGGCCTTTCCCAGCCCTGTCGCCACATGGGGGCCGTGGGGGCAGCTGTCACACCCCGGGAGGGCTGCTCGGACACCCTGCCCTGGGACCAGGTGCTGCTGCTCCACGCTGGGCAGGTCGGCGCACCTGCCCTTAGGGGCTCCCGGGGCCCCTCCACGAGCCGGGGCTGGGAGTCTCTGCGGAAACCGGAGCTCACCCCGGGCAGCCGGTGAGAGCAGCTCTTGCAAGTGTGCGGGGCCAGGCGGTCCCAGCGGGCAGGACACAGCGCGGCACGGCCACCACGCTGGCCCAGCCCTCTCGGGCTTGGGAGGCGGCAGCAGCCGGGGCTGACTGGCCACACCTGTGTGGGCCTCCAGGACCTCCACGGACCACCTGCTCACCAGGCTGCTGGGTGCACTGGGCGCCCTGCGGGGCCACCGCCTGGACAGCCTCTCCATCCTCGACCGGGTGAACCACGAGAGCTGGCGAGACGGGGGCCACAGTGCCGGCCTGACCTTCGGCCACCTGAAGGTAGCCGTGTGCGTCCCCACACACCCCTGCCCGCCGGCCGTGTCTGTAACCTGGGGACGAGGGCAGGGCACCCGGGCTTGTCCCCTGCCAGCCCCCAGTGGTCTCTCCTGGGTTCCGAGGAGGCGAGGCCACGCCTCATGGGGACGTGGCTGCAGGGCACCGTGGCGGGGGGGGTGCCCGGCCTTTGCCACCCCTGGGCTTTGGCCTTGGAAGACCTCCAGCCCTGGGACACTGTTCAGTAGGACCCCGGGGTTGCGCCTCCCAGTGCCGAGTGTCCCTGCCCAGCCAGCGTCTGCCCCGAGAGGACCCCGGCCGTCCTCTTGGAGTCTGTGGACAGCACCTGGCTGGGGTTCCTCCTCTGAGTGGAGCCAGCCCCTGGCACGGTCCCTGCTGCCTGCCGGGCCGCTCTGACGCCCTGGCAGAACAGTGCCCTTCAAGGGCTTCGGACCCTCACTTGCTGACAGCAGGCAGAGGCAGGGCCTGGACCCAGCCCCAGCCCCAGCCCTGCGAGGTGGTCACGGAGGAGCAGGAGGGGGCCGGGAGTCTTGGGGTCCTGCCTGGTTGGCCCTGCCTGGGCTGCGTGGCCTGCCGGGTGCTGCTCCGTGGACGAGGCGGCCCCTCCATCTGGCTCAGGTGTTGAGGGAGGGGTGGCCCCACCTGGCTCTGCCATGGTCCCTTGTGTGATCTCTGGCCTGAGGTAGAGTTTCCAGCCGTCCCCAGGAAGGTGGAGGACACCTGGGCCGCTGGGAGCTCAGTTCTCGTGGCTCTTAGACAGTTGTCTGGGCCCAGGCCTCACGCGCACGTAGAGCAGGATGCGGCTGAGCCGTGGGGCCCGCTGTGTTGGGCTGCAGGGGATGAGTAGGAGCTCCTTGGGGTGGGGGGCATGCGAGAAAGGCCTGGGGGAGGGTGGGAGCCCCGGAAGCCCCTGGAGAGGTCCTGGTGGCTGGGGTGGGGCGAGTGGAGGGCGGAGGGAGCGAGTGGGGCCGGGGGTCAG